GACATTCTGACCCCAGGTGTGACCCCTGAATTCCCCAGGTATGTTCAGTGTCAGTGGGCCCCCCTTTCGGGGCTGGACCCAGACACCCTGACCTTTCCCGGGGGCGCGCCCATACAGCTCCACGCCGTGCCCCCCGCCGTCCTGCCGAGGATACCACTCTTCTACGTCTGCACCCGATGTGGCAAGGTGTTCTGGGAAGGCTCTCACTTTGGCCGCGTCCTCTCCATGTTTCAGGACGTCTTGCACATTGCAGACGAGGACACCAAACCCGCTGCGGCTGCGCAGCAGGATTGACATCTGCAGAGCCGCTGCGCTTCACCTGTCGCTCGAATGCACCCACAAGAATAGCGTGGAATCCAATTATAGACATTTCTTTTTTCTTTTTTCTAATGGACTTGATAGGAGAGTAACGAGAAAAGAGGCATTAAGAATGACTTCATCTGCAAGAGAGACACCAACTTCAGCTCCTTTGGAAATAATTGGATTTCCTGTTCGCCATCTGGTTTTAAAATGTATCATACCCCCAAAAAACCAGACACGTATAGTCTCAGCGGCTTTACGCCTTTTGCGTTTGTGAGAGTTTTAAGCACAGTGATCAAAAGACGGATGACGCTGTGATCAATTTCTGACGTGGTCATTTTTGTTGTTGGTCGTGTTCTCCGTTCGACCACATTCACAGGGATTTATGGTTTGGATCGTATTGAGATCCTTTTAATTGTTCCTAAATAATTGTTTCTCTCGACAAGGAACTAGAATTACCATCAAACTATAAAGTTTGTTCCCTTATTTTATTGTTTGCATTTAAAAGTTGCTGTTAACGGATCACAGGGCTAAGTTCTACCGCCTTTACTGTGGGATTTACATCTATCTTTTTTTAATATTTTGTTGAAAGCTGAATATGCGTGAATAAAAAGAATTCAACTTCATGTATCAATCTGTGAGAAGTCCCCCGTTGTTGCCGTCACCGCACTGGTATTTTATGACGTGTTTCCAAATGCAGGGGACAGATGGTGAAGGATTAAGACTAGACGGCCTGATGATCAACAGATCCTCTAAGCTTCACTGATGTCTGTCAGGTGTAACACTAACAGTGTGGGGGTTTGGTGCCCCGAGGCTGAAGAGCAGACGGGTCCCAGAGTAACGCAACACGCACACGCACACACACAGAATCCCTCCATATTGTCTCATACCTGACTTGCCAACTCTCAAGATTGCCTAAAAGAGCTCTTATGTGGGAAATAATGCATTTAAATCTTGAGGTGTTGTCGTGCACGCCAGGCATTTTGTTAACCCTCTTTTGGGAAGCCGAGTTCAAATCTATACAACAATCAACAACAACAAAAACCACCGCCGTACATCCACTTTAACTAATTGATCACTTAACAGGCATCAAAGCGCCGTCCTGCCTTCCGATGTCGTTCTGTGGATCAATGAGGAAAATGTGTCCTCGGTGTGTTTGAATGTCAGCGGCTCCATCGGGAACCTCGGCATGATTCAGTGACCCTGAACGATGATGAACATTTCCTCAGAATGTTTGAAGTGAGAGCAGCTCCAGAACATGCAAACGGTTCCCTGATGGCCACGAATAAGTATGGAATGTACAGATGTAAATACTTTAATGTGGTTACAGCTTTAAATTGTTGAGCCTCTTAACTTCACAAGCTGTCAGTTTACAGGGAACTCGGCTGCTGCCAAAGTCTTGATTAAAGCATGTTGTGGAAATATAGACGTTACTTTTGGAGTGAGGTGTTCTCTAACTTCATTATTTTGGAAGAAGTAAAATTGCCTCTTGTGTGAAGATCACGTTGGGACCTTGACATGTGAGTAATGGGACACCATGTAGCAAATCCGCACCACCAAAATGAAGGCGTTGTGGTTTTTTGTTGCAGTCTCTGGTTAATATTGTCGTTATTTCAAAGGACTTTGTGAGTATTGTAACTTCTGAAGAACGAAGTTCAACACGTTAGGTGTCCATGGCTCAGCGTGTGAAGTTCACAGCCCGTTGTTGTGGGTGCAGCGTGAGCACATCTGAACCTGCTTCTCACACGGCGCGGTGACAAGGGGAAACTGTTGGGTTGAGGAGATCTTGAAGATTGCGGTCCGTCTGAGACGTGACCTACAGATTCTCAAGCAGAGCATCGTGCGATGAGGTTTGCTAGTTAGTTGTTAACTGTAAATCCTTTAAGATATTATATACATTTATATACATTGAGTTTTATTTCCAACAGGACGCCAAATGCCTTTGACGACACTCAGGTTAAATGAATTTCCATTTCATTCAGTGATGTATTCACTTCTTTGTGCAAGTGGCCTTTGATTTTATCTCAATTTCAGTTGTGGAAAAGAAGGTTGATAAAGCAGATGCATGACTGATAATGAGACCCATCTGTAGTGGAGGCCAGCCAGATGTTAGCCTGTAATAAAATAAATGTCTCTCAGCAGAACGCGCGTTGCACCTCATAACTAATGCTGTTGTTTCAGTATATATAGAGTATATATGCCTCTTGCATCCAGAACAAAATCCGTCTTGGCATATTGCCTTGTTTCAAGCAGACGGTGACCATAACCGCGGCAACATGAATCTACCCCGAAGTGTCGTTATTGCTGCGGACGCAGCGGACAGCCTCGCTCGCAAATAAGCCGCTGTCTGTGTGTCCTCTGCCGTCCTTGTCCGGGTGGTCGCAGCCCCTGTCTCCGCGCAGAGAGCGAGCTTTCTGCTGCAGCACCGTGTTATTTGATCCCTGCTCTTTCTTTGCTGGGAAGAAAAGCTCGCCTCTTTCCCACGCTCTGAGGACACGTGGTGCCCGGAATGAATTGGATTCAGAAGACCCTCCTTCCCGGTGAAACGCCCCCCTCCACCCCCCCGCTCCCCCCCCCCCGCTCCCCTCTCTTTCTCTCTCTGTCTATAACCATGATGATGTAAAAACTAATTATATTGCCATAGATGTATCATTGGAAATCTGGCATTTAATATACATGTATATTAAAAAGACTTAAGTTTTTTTTAATTTAAGTAAGAATGTAAGTTCCTCGGTGACATGCGCGCGCACCACAGTCCCGGGACGGGACGTGTGGCTCCTCCCGTCTGGTCTGGCCCCTGGCTGTCCCCGATCGGTCCGTTTACAAAGACGAGCCGCACACAGTGAAGGGCTCTGGGTTCTCTCCATGTCGCTGAAATGAAAAAAAAGAACGAACAAAACGCGGTCTTGTTTATCGACACACAGGAACAGAGATATGGCTGCATAAATAGAAGCAGGGTGGCGATGTTGCTTGGGTTATCTTCGCGTGACCAGTTTGTGGAGAACCGGACTGTCCTCACCGAAGGTCGCCCGAAATACTTTTTGGAGATCGCTTTCTGCTGATCCTTGCCATGATTGGGTTGCGCTTTGACGCACGCGTTGGGTGCCCCGTTGGACATTTTAACGGCATTTTAGCCCAATTGAGAAAAATAAGACACGTAAAATACTTGTTTTGAGTGTGCATCACTACTCGATGTACAAAAGCCACACGCTTGCATCGGGTTTGGCTTCTTCTGACGCACACATTACCAACAAAGACCCCGGGAGCGAAGGGGTGGGGAGGGCGCAGAGGACAGCCGCAGAGTTTGGGAGAGAAACTTTTGGCTCTTGTGGTCTGTGCAAATGTTTTCCAAGTGTCCAGGCGCAATGCAGCCAAAAGATGTGACAGCAGACAGATGTTCCTGATTTTTCGCAAAATGTGCGTGTGTGTTTTACTGAAGGGTGCAGACCCTTCCGTAAAACAGAATCCTGATAAAAACATATCCTAAAGATCTGAAGAATGGAGCAGTATACGCACATTCCTAACATACAGATGTGGGGCTGCATGTCAATGCTGTGTCATGTGAGACACATGTATCATTTATATTCTGCATATTTATATTGGAATGAGTCAGCCAGCTCCTTTGTTTTGGTGCAGCTGTGGGTCAGCAAACAGTCACTTAAAAAGTGTCAAAAACAGATGATTCACAGTTGTTCATCATTAAAATACCAAAGAAAAAACATCTGAATTCCAATCCGGCCTACTTGTTTTTTATTGGCTGGCAGGCGTGGGTTTAAATTCCATCCATGCCAACAACAACATACTATTACAGTAACAGTCACTTTTTATTTCATGTTGAAGGGTCAATTATTTATATCACCCAAAATCCTAAATCTGCTTGGAAGGGTTCAGCTCCATCATGCAACTGCCAAACCTAAAAAATGGAACCGAGCTTTTGTGTTTGAAAATATTGGACCCGATCCATCCAGTTAGAATTAAACACCGATTCGATTGGGACAAATAACATGCAGCTACAGGTCTGTTGACTGTTTAGTTGACCTAACGGTTTCAGGTATCTTGCGAATTTAACGGACACCTGTCAATCAAAGTGTAAAACCAACACACATGGCCATGACGATGCCATCCAAAGGAGGTTTGCGGAATGTAAATCATGTCCTCAGTCATGCGGTAGTTGACAGCTTGTTTGTTTGGCAGATTAAATGGAGCAGATTGCGACCTTCTCTTTCCGCTGACGCGTAGAGCGCAGATGCGGCCACAGACGTGCGCCACGTGTGCGCCTCAGATGTGCGCTTCGGAGTGTGGGAAAGCGAGGCCGGCGTGGAAGCCACCGGACCAATCAGAGCGGAAAGCGGTTCCGCGGAGGGGATGCAGCGTGGGACGCCGGGGGGGCGGATAGGTGGAGGCTGTCTACCTGGTGTGGTTTTCACGCATCTCTCTCTGCGTCTCTCTCTCATTTTCTCCCTCCAGCGTTGTCGCTTTCACATGCATTCATTCTGTCAAACCTCGTGTCTATCTATCAATATCTATCACCACCTTCACCCGGTTTTTCTCACACGCACACACACACACGCACACACACAGTTCCCACGGTGATCGGGGGGAGGAGGAGGAGGAGGGGGAGGAGAGAGAGAGGGGGAGGAGAGGGGGGGCTGAGTGGCGTGTCAATCCGCACACAGCGTCACTTCTTTTCACTTGCAAAAAGGAAGTAGCGCGGGGCTTTTGTTATTCGAAGTCCCACAGTCTAAAACAACTGGAATATATCCGCAGTTTTATGATTCAAACAGCGACCTGTAATCTCCTCCTCGCGGGGTGTTTTTGAGATGGAGCCTTACGAGCCAGAGGCTCGTCTGGGGTTTGAACTTTACTGTCGTTGCCATTTGGCACGGAGGCAATCACCCTCCGGAGGTTCAGATGAACTACTAATACTTCAGCCGGCCGCTGTTAAAAAGTGCATTTACACGAGTGTGAGAGGGAATAAAACCGGTGGCCTCTCGATATGAAACGGCGTCGAGGCGTTGCGCTTCTTTTGTATTTCGCAATATTCTCACAAACTCGCGGCGACGTCCACCGACCGTCCGCACGGAGAAAGTAGGGCCGCCGAACAGCGGCACCCATGTGAACCCCACCCTCTCCTGGTGTGTCCTTATCAGCACCTCTTCTGACCCCGTGGGTCCAGTTACCCCCTACATAAAACAAATAATAAATAAACAATAAACCATTGCACTAATATTCATGTTTTACCTTTTTTTTAAACGTGTAGCCTACAGATGAATTCCACATTGGTTTGGCCCAAATCAAAAACGGACATTAAACTTTGTTTCATTAGACTTTTTATTTTCTTTGCATGTATAAAAAAACCTGTCCGACGCCCTCAAGTCACCATTGACATCGCGGCTTAATGTGAGGCTGCTTATTGGTTTCTGCGGTGGTTAAATCCAGTGGGCCCCCGGCCCACGGTCCTCTTCCTGGGCTCCTCTTCTTCTTCAGGAGCTCGCATACACGGAGCTCGCCGTGGCTTCTGGAGCTCCCGCCTCGGAAGACCACGCCTCCCTCCGCGCGGATCCACATGGGACAGATCCCGCCCCCCGAGCCGAGCCGGCAGCCTATAACCTCCCCGGGTTTCCGCCCATTCCTCCACAGTTGTTTCTTCGGGATGGCATTGTCATGCAAATAAAGGACGCGTGAAATATTCTCCCAGAGCGAGGCGCGGGGCAGAGACTCACACGGACCGCGCGGAGGACACACGACCGGGGGGGCCACACGGTGTGGATTTGTATCGCTTTTTTTTTCGTCGCCACGGACCCGTCCTTCTGTCACAGGTAAGTCACCAATGCGCAGCGGATTGAACTTCCAGGCGAGTTCAGCAGGCGGAGCGGTGCGGCCGTGCGTAAACGTGTGCGCCTGGAGGTCTCCGTCTTTTGGATGTGGCGGAATGTGGGGTCTCTCTCTCTCTCTCTCTCTCGCAGTCGTGGATTCATGTGGACTTCTCTTGTCCTTCTTTCTGTTGTTGTTGTTGTCTTTCCCAGACGCCCTGGCCCTCATGAGCAGCGACGCATAGCCGGGACGTGCATCAGCCGGGAATCGGGTCGGACCGTTCAAGGAAAACCTGCGGCGGCTGTCCTGTGGAAATAGTGTTCATTCTTCCCGTTTCCACGCGTGAAGTCGGAGGTGTCTCTCCTCTCCATCCTGTGCTTCGGGCTACCTGCTGCTGCTACGTGGGGGGAACTACTTCCAGAGACCCCTGGATCGCTGGAGAACACCCTTTTTTTAATGTTTTAGGGATTTTAGGATCCCTCAAATATTAACATTTTTTTTGCACACCAAGTGTGTTATCTCCTCTCCTTTGTCCTTTTTGGGATATATACAGTACTTAAACACGTGCCTTAATAGCTGGTTATAATCCAGTGTAACTGTGGCATTGTCACCAGACCAGAGACGCTCAACAGGGGGAAGACGCGTGTTATCGGCTTTAGAGCCCGGGCAGGATTACTGGTCCCGCACCCTCCAGCGCGCTGCGACCATGAGCCAGGCGGAGGTGTCGACGTGCTCCGCGCCGCAGCGGGTCTTCCAGGAGGCGGTGAAGAAGGGCAACACCAAGGAGCTGCACTCGTTGCTGCAGAACATGACAAACTGCGAGTTCAACGTCAACTCCTTCGGGCCGGAGGGACAGACGGCGCTGCACCAGTCGGTCATCGACGGCAACCTGGAGCTGGTCAAGCTGCTGGTGAAGTTCGGCGCGGACATCCGACTGGCCAACAGGGAAGGTTGGAGCGCGCTGCACATCGCCGCCTTCGGTGGCCACCAAGACATTGTGCTATACCTCATCACCAAGGCCAAGTACTCATCTGGCGCCCGGTGATCTGTCTCTGCTGTCAGGTAATAAAAAGGAGAAGGTTAAAAAAAATTGAGAAAAAAGAAAGAAAATAAAAAAAACAACAAGTGGAAATTTAAGCTGCAACACAAGGGGAAGCCAGGCTAAAAAAACAAACTGCCATCGTCGACATAGTTGTGCCAAATTATACATATATGTGTATGTATACATATATATGTGTATGTTTAAATAGACAGCAGAATAGTCTTCCCTCATTGAAAACCAAACGGGGTCCTCTCTGCACGCCTGGGTGAAGTATCGCATGGCTCGTACACGGCGCTTCAACGCGGCTCTTTAAACAAAAGAAACGCCGGGTTTCGGTGAGTTCGTTGGTACTAAAGCTTTCCTCTTGAATGTGTTTATTAGATCCCGTCGTCCAATATAAAAAGAAGCCGGTGTCTGTGTATCGTCACATGCGTGTGTGTTTGGACTCCAGAAGTGCAGATGGCCCAGTTTCTCTCTCCACCCATGAGCTCCAGCATACAGTTGAACGGTTTCCTCCTGGAGGGGGTGCAGGGTGGAGGGTGGCGGGTGGAGGAGGGGGTGGTCGGGGGTGTTGCTCCTCGTTGTTTTAAGTTATTTTATATGAAAACACGGCACTTGATTGCTAAATGGCTGCATGCTGGAATATCTGAAAGGGAAGACACGCGAACAAGACAGAGAAGAAGTGTTGCCCTCTGTTGGCTACCAGAGGTTTTAGTCTGTTTATTTTTTTTATTTTTATTTTTTTAACTCAAAGAGCGGCATTATGGCTAACCAACGCGCTTCCACATGTGTAACAACAAGCGGCTCCATCATTGTTGTGATGTACTGTACACAATAGCTTTACTTTGTTTGTGTTTTCAAGAGAGAGAGAGAGAGAGAGAGAGAGGAGCGGCGGCAGCAGGATGCGCTCGTGCAGATCTTGCCATGCTGGCGTCCAACTTGTCGGGCCAGTTGCGACCACCGTGGCCGATGGTCATTGTGTGAAAAAAAAAAAAAAACAGAAAAAAACCCCGCTGCTTTCGCTTTGTATCAAAAAAAAGTCGTATTTGGAATTCACTTTATAATCTCCTTTCAGTATTTTATTAACATCCTAGTCATCCCTGTGAAAGCAGGCTGTGCTTCTTTTTTTATTTTATTTTTTATTTATGAAGGTACATTGAGAAGATGCGTTTTTGAACATGTTATGGTTCTTCTTAAAATCATATATGAATATTTAGGGTGACTCAAGCTGCTTCAGACTCGAGGTATAAATAAACTGTCCCGTGCGGAGGTAGACCTGCCAGCCCCCCCCCCTCTCCAGAAACCCCTTCTGTTGAAGCCTGTTGACCCAAGAGGACTTTGTCTCCCGTTAAAAGGACTTTGTTTGGTTGCCTTTTGCCAGCTACCTCGACTATAAAGTATTCTCAAGTTGTTCCGCTCTCTCACCGCTCTGCCACGTTGTTTGGAGTCTGAGGAGATTCACAATTTGTCTGTGATCATCCGCATGCCAGTATGTTTTTTTTATTTTATTTTGTGGCCTACCAGACCGATGGACTTCAGTACTCATCATGCAACCTCGGTCGGGCCAGTTTTTTCTCTTCTTTTTTTTTTTTTTTTTTCTTTTTTTTTTACACTACAACCAAACCAATTCTGTCGAGCAATGCATCGTTTTGCCTCTGCATGGGAGGCTGAGGCTCTCTGTTTCTCTCTAACACACGCACACACACGCACACACACACACTGCCATTGTTTTCCATACAAACCTCCACTTTCCTCTCTATCTCTGTCTTCAACAGCCTGTTTTTTTTTTGTTTTCTAGGATATTTTATTCCAGTCATACAAAAAAAACACGTATCGCGTGACTTTTAAATGCAGGGAGTTTTATTGCACAAAAACGCGGAGCCTTGTGCGCCCCTAGTGTTTGTACGGGGTAACTGCAGGAGCCAAGGCTTTGGAATAGTTACTACTACTGAGCAGGAGCCTGATACTGTTGGACGATGAAGACTTCAAATAGCAACAACACATGACTATAGCAGGCCGTCACAGATTAGAAGAGGAATAATAAAACGGTTTCATAAACTTGCCTGCTGAATTTTGAAAGTCATGGCACCCTAACATTTGTATCAATGCTGCTTGTATGTTTTGGTTTGTTGATGTTTTTTATTTTGTTTTTTTTAAAGCCTACTACTCAAATGGCCAACAGTTGCATAGAAGCTTCACAGCAGCACTGGTTCACCACATGAGAAGCTGTTGAAAGAGGTTTTTTGTTTAATTGCAGTGTGTTTGTGTGATTCTGAGCTTCTCTTGGGGGCCTTGTGTCGCTGTCAGTAAAACAGTCACCCAGACTAAGAACTTCTTCCGGAACAACCACAAGTAATCTGAAGCAATAGATCCACCATATCAAGGTATAGATTGGTATCAGGCAACAAATTAATTATGCATCACTTGTCTTAAACTTGATGTGTTTTCTTTTTTTCTTTTTTTTTTCTTTGAATATTGCACTGATGACTGTTGTTGAAAAGTTGACTTTTGTGTGTCAACATTTTATTTTTTTTCTGAATAGAAAAAAACCAACACAACAAAATACTATTGTATAAATATATGCTCCGGGTGATAAAGTCCTAATGTGTGTGTTACTTTGTGGAAAAAACGTGATGTTTTTTTTTTTAAAGCAAAGATGCGTGTATCTCTGTGATTGGGTGTATGTATATATACATATGGATATATATATATATATATATATATCGATGCTGATATAGATGACTGGGGGCACTTTCTTTTTTGAAGTGCTGTCTTCCTGTTTTTTTGAAAGGGGAATAATACATTTGATGGTAAGATCATTGTAACATGGTTAAAAATTGCACGGTTGTGTGGTTGTTTGGCTTACCAGGGTCATAACATTTATGACGTAAGGAGCCAGCCTCCGGATTGGTGTAAATGAGTGAGAGGTTGTTTTTTTTTTGTTTTTTTTAATGCTGACTTCTTTGGACCAAGTGGTGTTTCTGGTCTTGCTTCATTTCAAGCAAGAGGAAACGGCAGATTTTTCATGAGTGATGCAGATGTTCCATCATGTTTCATTTTGTTTGTATACTTTTATTTTTGAACATTTGTAACACTGTGATGATGACGTGATGTCATGTGGAGATGAGTGCTGTATTATTTTTGTACGTTTGTGTACAAGCCAGTAAAGAAATCATTAAACTCAAAAATCTGTGTATGCATACATTTCTTTGTCAGGGCTCAAGCAAAAAGCTATGTTTCCTCTGACTCAGTCCTCTTCCTCCTCCTCCTCCTCCCTCCTGCATTTTTCATAGAAAATGCTGGTTTCGAAAACACACCCCTACCCTCCTCTCCCCCTTTTCTCCCCTCTCTCCTCCTCCGAGCCGGGCCCAACCCAGATCCCCATTCTCTCCTTTTGTCATTCATCTGGCCTCATCCTTTCACTGCCGGGATAAAAGAGCCCAGTGCATTGTGGGTAGGCTCAGTTTAAAGAAGGGTCCCCTCCCCTGTGTGTGTTGTGGCAGAGCTAGTTTTATGTTACACTCACACACTCAAAAAATGTCAGACACAAACAGTCCTCTTGTGCTCCCTCTCGATCACGGCCGAGCGGCGATCCGGCTCGCGGCTCACAAACCTGCTTTTATGCCCGTTCCCCCAAATTATCTTTGAGGAGGGGAAGAAAACGTCCCTTGGTACTTTTTTGTGATTTTTTTTGTTGTGCGTGTGTGAAATATGTACATTCAACGCTTCCTGTGACGGTGCATGAAAGAGCCCCTGATAATTGGTGGGTTAAACTGTTGAACCATCTCACCTCATGTAGGCCTGGAGTCAAAAAATGGTAACACACAGATTAATTTGCCCCCCAAACATGTTAAGAGACACTGCTGGTCTGTGTGTTTTTAAGGGAACCCTTTAAATGAATTCTCCTTCACTGTAGGTTTAGCATTTATGAAATCACATACTGGTGATTGCGTTTAGCTCATGAGTAACCTTTCATTGAGTCAGACTGATTTACAACAGACGTTACGCTGCTGTGGGAGGGTCGTGGGAAAAGCAACACTACAATACGTCTTCCTGCATGTTGGACCTGTTTGTGTTGTAATGTTTGCTGGGTGGCGACCGGCAGTTAGTTGTAACCGTTTGAGTAAGAAAGGTTGCATTTTAACGTAATTGAAGGAATGCTTTTCTTTGACAGATTTCCTTCCGGTGTGATCCTGAAGTTAAACTCAAAGTGAAATAAATGTCTTATCGTTGAAGCAGTTGATAAACTTGCTTTCCGAGCTGCAGCGGAACCGTCTTTGACCTCAGATGTTCTGCGCTGGCCACACCGAGACCCAACTGGATGCATTGAGCTCCCGTGAACACCAGGCTCCTCCGTGTTTTGATGGCGCGGCGGCGGGCGAACGGCCTATCTCGCTACCCCCCCCCACCCCCCCCGAGTCTCTCACTTCTGCAGGATGTTTTTGTTGAGCCGGGTTCCCTATTGTTCACACACCGAGCTGGCTGGCCTCCCAGGGTTGCTGTTGACTGCTAGGACCCCTAATAGGTTCTTCATGTGCCTTGGCTTCCCTCGCTTGTCTTGGTCGGGCCAGCGCACGGAGCAGCCCGCCTCCAGACGACGCAAGGCCTTTTGGGAGGAATTTTGCTGAGAAGACAGTAAAAAAAAATCAGATGAGGAATTGATTGAGGGAATAAGTCCAAAATACTAAAGGGAAGCAGCATGGGAATCACTGTTCTTTGTCTGTGCTTGTTCACACATAAATCAAGTAAAATGTTGTTGGTGCGTTGATGTTCTAGCAGCTGCAAACAAGTGCGTCTGTGTGATAATCTTTCATCTACATTCAAAAGGCCATTGTTCTGCATCTCATAAAATATTCATATCCATGCTAACACCCCTCATTTAAAGGGTTACACTTGATCTGTAGGATGCAAGATGAACTGAAAATCTGGTGATTTATGTAAAACACAATTTAATTGGTTTTGCAACATTTCATTTCTCGTTTTAAAACTGTACGACTTCCTCAAAGGGCCCCAGGATTGACATGATTGCACTCTGATTGGGTGATGATGTAATGCAAACGGCTTGTTTGAACAGTTTGAATACGTTTTACATTTCACCACGAGGACACATCTGAACGCTTGCTGCAGAAACCTGCGGTTCACGTAAAGAGGAACGTGGAGAAACGGTTAACAGTCTTTCCAGGATCTTCGTTTTGTTGCCTCTGTTAAGGTCCATGTTTAGCTCTTAACATCTGTGCTGGTGTGCAAAGTTTGATGATGTGAGTAATTTCCCATCATGGCTCCACCCAGCTTCCGCCTCACCAGAGGTTTGATCAGACAGAGCAACTGAAAAAAAACAGTTTGTGTGTGCAGGTCTTTTAAATGTGTTCATGATAAGTAATTAACTGAAGCACAGAGGTGTAGCAGGCCTGGCTCGTACTTCACAGCTGTTCAGGGAAGTGCACATCTGTCTGCCCCGGGCCTAGTTCATACAATTCGGATCTCAGATTCTGCAAGCGATCGACTACTTTACTCGAACGATAAGATATTTATCTTTTGATTTCTACACATTCATTTGTAATTTGACCGGGCATTCAGTCATGAGTTGAGTTAAATTTAGCATCTAAAGCCGGCGTTTAAATGATTGAGTGTGGTAGTTTCTGTAATTTGCCAAATCAATACTTGTTCTTAAGTGGCCAAATGCTCCACTGTGTTCATCAGTCGCTAACTGAGTCTATGTACAATTTGGTGCTAGATACGTCGCGTACGTTGTTTAAAGCTGCCAAGTTGGATGACAAGCACTGAAAACACAGTCAATGAGGTAAAACGTGTTAAAACGAGTTGGGTGGCGGTCATTTGATTTTTTGGGCCTTCCCCTGGTGCTTGTGAGTGTGGCCCGATGTTTCGCTCGATGCCGCCGTTCTCTACTGCTCTCATAGGTCAGCTACAGCTGATGACACCTCCCAACCCGCAGCATTGTCGCGCCAGCGTAGCACCCGTCCTCCGGTGCCCCCTTGAGTGCCCAGTGCCGTGTCAGCATTTTGCCACTGTTTGCTGCAAGTTACCATCCAGCAAACACGGACATTAGCCACTCGGTAGTCTAAGAGCTAAAAAGACTGAACACAACGTATTCAATGTTCCATTTCTTTACAAAAGGTTACTCACGAGTGACAAACAGTGAGCTTGACTTTTTTTGACTGAAAGATGCGACAGGAGATGGTTTATTTGGATCCAGCAGAAACTACTAGGTGTCTATAATCAAACCTCACTGTGTCATTGCATCTGTGGGATCCTCCTTTTGAAAAGTGCATTGAACAGATTTGAGCTCAACGATCTGAAAACCTGCACAGACTCTTATGCTGGTGGACGACAGTGAGCTTGAAATCCTGCTGATGCAACAATTTTTCCCCCAAAACACGTCTGTTGCTAAACAACACCAGTGAACACTCCCTCCCCAAAGTCTGCCTGTGTGTAAGGAGGGGAGTAAAAGAAATAAAGAGGGAGAGAGAGACAGGTGGTCGGGCCGGTCTTTTCCTTGCCCTCCGCTCCTTTTTGAACTTTTCTTTCATTCTTCCAGTTCCCTCCGTGCTTCTCTCCACAGTGCCAGTGACAAGGCGCTCCATTCACTGCCTCATTCTTCCACCTCCTCCCTCCCCCCCCCCCCATCTCTCCCTCATTCACCCCGACCCCATCCCCTCCCTCCTGGCTCCTTTGTCTAGCTTGCGGGGGCCTGCTTTAGCTGCTATTCACAAGCCAGACGGACCGCCATTGACTGGACCCCCTCATCACACCCCCCACCCAGCCCCCCCGCAACACCCCTCCCTCCGACAAACACCCTCACACACACATATGCACACAGCAACCTGGCCATTCCCCACCCTACGCCCTGTATCAGGCAGCTGCTATGCTAATAGGGAGGAAGGGATGGATGGAGGGGAGGAGGGGGGGGGAGACAGTGCAGCCAGCCTATAGCACATGGACAGAGGGAGGGGAGAGCAGGGAGAGTGACCCTGCTCCTCCATCTCCATGGCCATGCCAGAGCTGCAGCTCGCCTCCTGTTACACAAAGGGAATCCCTGGCCCTCCTCCCCCCTCTCACCCTTCTCCCCCCCCCTCCTCCTTCCACCCCTCTGTTCCCCTCTTTCTCATTTAAATCCATTTTATACCCCAGTGGTAAAGGGAGCTGTAAGTGCAGTATGTAAAGTAACCTTACTCCTGCCCTGCGGGCGTAACCATTCAGTGCTGAAGACACAGAGAGCAGCCTGTGTGTGTGTGTGTGTGTGTGTGTGTGTGTGTGCGCGCGCGCGTGTGCGTGTGCGTGTCCATTCCCCTGCTTTGTTTAGGACTGCAGCCCATACCTCCACACACTGACACTCACACATACGCACACACACAACCGACACCTGTCCTTGAGTCAAGTTGCATCTCCCTTCACACTCAAATAGTGGACACAGACACACATTCTACACAGAGACACACACACACACATCCATCAGTCACTGTGTGGTATTAAGCACTTAAGTAGTAAGTTACTGATATATTTTACATCAAGCTAAATGGCCCTGCATGAAGTGCAAACTTAATAAATTGAGGTTTTGATTCAACTTGTCACTTTGGAGGATGTTAGTTAGAACAACATGGTTTCTAATATATTTTTAGGTGTTTCAAATATTTTGTAATGGCTTAAACTAGATTGTCCATCGATGGACTAAAGAAAAAAAGGTGCAATCGAAATACAATCGAAAATGTACCATTGAACTGAATAAACCTTCAAACATAATCAAAGAGCAGGAATGTTGCAAAAACCCTTTTTTTTCCACACGTTTTTTATATTCTTGGCTCAGGTTAAATTATTTTGATTTCCTTTTTTCTGCATGAAAATCAACATCAATTTTGACTGAATTGAATTTTATTAAAAGTCACGTTTAATAAGTTTGAATTGTTCTACATGTTGGAATTCAATGGTTATGGCCGTGTGTTGGCATGTTTGTGTCAGCAGCTTTTCTCTCATAGCATGTGTACACATCTCTTGTGGAGGGTTTTGGGAAGGGTGGATTGGGGGCGTGTTGGCAAGAAGACATTGCGCTCTCTCTCTCTCTCTCTCTCTCTCTCTCTCTCTCTCTCTCTCTCTCTCTCTGTCCCTCCTGTTCTGTTATTTACCCCTGTGCAGTGTGACCCTGTGCCCCGCCAGGGAGGCACGTCCCATTTGACATCT